GCAATCCCAATGGAATAAAATTCTAGATACTGTCGGCGAAGATTCCGTAATTTTGCACGTTTATGGGACCCTTGTGGTGATTGGCCTCGTTTACGTTGTTGTTGGGGATTGTACACATTAGTTGACTTTTTGAACAAACCTACCATGGTGATGAGGTACAAAGTGCAACCTGGGATGAACGCACCTGTTGAGGGGAAGCGCATCCTGCAGGTGTGTAAACGATTACACGCTTCAGCTGACTGCCGTCTTATAGGTTTTGGGTGTTGTACTAATAAACTTTTTGGTTACGTTACCAGTCTTACGCTGTGCGACCTACCTCATGGAATGGCGGACATACCCGGCATTTCGAGAATTGCCTACATTTCACTGGATGCTGTTTGAGCTCGCTATTTGTATTGTCGCCATTGAAATAGGATTCTATTATACGCATAGGTACAGATACACCTATCTCTTTCTTTTAGTGCAGATTAGATTTTCAGACTTCTCCATCACAAGTTAATCTACAAATACATCCACAAAAGGCACCACGAATGGACGGCACCGATAGCAATAACGTGCATGTACTCACATCCAATCGAACACATTGGTTCTAATATACTACCAATTTGGCTTGGGGTGTTTATAATGGGATCGCACGTCGCCACCTCGTACGTGTGGGTTAGCATCGCACTCTTGTCAACTTTACACGTGCACAGCGGATATATCATTTGCCATTTATGGAGTCGCCCGAATTTCACGACTATCACCACTTAAAGTATGTATCCATCCATCTGGTACGGATGCAATGGGCACATTTTCAGGTTCACACAAAACTTTGGAACAATCGGTCTATTAGATCGTATCCATGGGACCGACGCTCAGTTTAGGAAATCCCCGCAATTTCGGAGGCACGCCGTGATGCTTAATTTTACTCCGCCAAGAGAAATGTATCGACATGAATCATAATTTCAAAGGTGTAAATATCAGATTAGATGTTCCTGAGTTGTTATCGTTACTGTACCTTTCGGCCATGATTATGACAGTTTTAGGGATTAGTAAACTTCTCAATATATCAATCCATTGTAACAGTAAATGGTAAACAAACTAGGTAATGGTATTGTGATGTCATCCATTAATAAACCCACTATAAGAAAGGGGTTTCCTATGTCTACTTTTAAATGACTGAAAAACGCCTAATTTTATGCAACCGAAATAACATGCGCATGCGCACGCATTTTGCATTGTATTAATTTTTAATTTAAAAAAACGATAGTAAATAGTACCTATGCTTTTAGGTTATGATGAAGAGATATTAAAGTCGATGGATATTCACAAAAATAAATCGTTTCGTAGATAATTGTAAAAAATCGAAAATCGCCATTTTTGAAAACTTAAAATATTTTAGGAACAAAGAGAGCTATCGAATCAACTTCCTTATTTTAAATAGACGCCATATTGGACCTTTACTCAGTTTGGCACAGTTTTTTTTCTCTTTCCAACCACGTGTAACAATTACCTATCCTTCAAAACATGCCTAAAATTGCAATTTTCATTTTTTTCTTCATAGTTGGCCATGGAAACAATAGGCAATTGCAAGGTTACAATTGTTTGACCGCGGCCAGTAGTTTGATTAAAGAATTAATTAACATACAAAAATATAATAACGAAATTTAAAATTACAGCAAATGCATTCCATTAATACGCATGTTCGGCACCGTTTAGTTACTGTAGCAGTTACCTTGAGCAGTGTATTTCTGTTAAACATTGTAAAATGACAATTAGGCCTCTATGCTAGTTTTGTTTCCATGGCTAACTATGAATGAAAAATAAAAATTGTAATTTTACCCATGTTATTAACGAGCTCCTAGCGAGTTTATAATTTTGCGGTGTCTGTCCGTCCGCCGGTTAGCATCTCAAAAACGAATGGAATGGATGCGTCGTTTTTGTGCGATGGATCGAAGCTTTATTAGCAAACTCATTATATAATTTCATTATGACGGAAACTTTTTGTGATGAAATGTAATCTGCATGCAAAGAATTGTGACACACAGTGGCGTACGTAGAAATTTATTCTGGGGGGGGGGCGTACTAGAAGGGGGAGGGGGGGTTTAGAAATAGAAATTGGGTTGCACAGGCAAGATTAGATTAGAACGGTATTTTATTTCTTACTGCTGGCAGGCCCCTTTATTGCTTTTGCTTTAATTAGTCAACGAAAATTTTCAATAATAGGCTCGATAATAGGTATATTTATGGGCAAAAAACCAATTTCGACAAAAAATTCAAAGGGCTGTAACTTTTGATCTAGTAGTCCGATCTTGGAACTGTTTGAAATTATGGATTCTACAGGCCACATTCTATAAGAAAATATTTTTTTTCCGGTCGATCGGAGACAATTTTTTTTTCGGGGCAAAAAAAGGCAGTGTATAACCTTCCTTTTTTTCCAAAAATCGACTGCACCAAAATTTCTCGGGAAAAAACTTTTTCTGATTAATTTGGGTGCGTAGAATCCAAAACGATTCGTACTTTTTCGATTAGACGTCTCAATCAAAAGTTATGGGCAAAAACCAATTTCGACAAAAAATTCAAAGGGCTGTAACTTCTAGTAGTCCGATCTTGGAACTGTTTGGAATTATGGATTCTACAGGCCACATTCTATAAGAAAATATTTTTTCCGGTCGATCTGAGACAATTTTTTTTTCTGGGCAAAAAAAGGCAGTTATTACCTCCCTTTTTTACCAAAAATCGACTGGACCAAAATTTCTCGGGAAAAAACTTTTTCTTATTAATTTGGGTGCGTAGAATCCAAAACGATGCGTACTTTTTCGATTAGACGTCTCCATCAAAAGTTATGGGCAAAAAAAATTCCTGTTTTTAAAATTTAAAATTCTTATTTTCGTCATTTCGTGAAAGGCAGGACGCAGGTACCTCACCTCAGTAGCAGTACTAAGTACCTGATACCTATTTGTTATTTTGGGCATCAATGTAGCGAATTGCCGATCGATGCCGAATAGCCAAATCGTTGACTGCCAACACTGATCAGTCACTGAATAGTGAATACTGAATACTACAGAATATTTAGATTTTAGTGACTTTAGACTTTAACCAAAACCAAAATTGCTCTCTATATATACCTATATATTATTGCCTTTATTTTAAAGTGGGAGGAGCGGATAGCGGATACCTAATAGCTATGATGATAACTCAATTCTTCTGGGGGGAATATATCCCCTTCATGCCCCCCCGCCGTAAATACGCCACTGGTGACACAAAGCTAATAATGCTTCAAACCCGAGCATTCTACGATGATTCCTTCGAGAGTTATACTTAAAAAAAGTTTGTAGCCGACCGACCGACTAACCGAACACCTAGTTTTTTTCAAAAACGCGCTAAAAAACCGTAAAATAAACGTAACTAAAGCGGCATCCCCAACTAAACCTCTATGTACTTGAGAAAGCATTTGTATGGCCCATTTATTGCAACTAAATCGAGCTACCCCTAACTACGGTCCTTACTTAATTGGTAAAAACCACAAAATCAAATGTATCATACCAAGTACAACGTACTAAATCGACGGCAAGTAATATACACAAAATTCCATGCAGTCTAAAAAAGTTAAATTAAACTTTACGTAAGTGTCTTCAATAAACGTGCGCACTCAGAACTACCTTCATAATAATAATAATGCTGCGTCGAGAACTCCCCTCCTCAATTTGAATTGTTAAAATGCGCGGTAAACATTTCTAGTACCGTAGCTTGCGTTTTTCTTTCCTGGCGAGAGGTTTATATTTTCTTGTGGTAGGTAATAATTCCATGGCTGTGTCGATGGTGACTATGCGAGACAATAAACGAACATTTGGTTTCAATCACAACCGGCCATGGAATTATGTATTGCCATGAGAAATAAGAAATTTTCCATGAATTGATCAGTACTTCTCCAAAGGGCATGTAACGGACTTTGTCATTTCAAAAATGTATCTATAAATAAGAAAGTTGACATTGCGCAGTGCGCACGTCTCATTTTTACAGTATGCGATATGTTTGTCTTTATTAGAAACATTTGTGGTTACAATTACAAAGAAATATTTCCATAAATGAAAAAGTTTGCGCTTAATGCGCACGTCTGATTTTTACAATATACGATATATGCTTGTTTTTACCAGAAGCATCTGTAGTTAAAATTTCAAAAAAGTATGTCCATAAGTAAACAAATTGGCATTGCGTAGTTTGCGCATGCCCACGTCTGATTTTTACAATATGCGATATTCTTGCCTGTACTAAAAGCTACTAAAAGTTGACATTGCGCAAGTCTGATTTTTACAATATGCGATAGGCTTGCCTTTATTAGAAGCATCTGTGAGATTTTTCTTGGTTGAGGTGCCACAGCTATTAGCTACCGAATGCAAAAAGAACGAACTCAATATCTTGAAAACTGTAGGACTAGTTAAGGCCTCGGACGGACAGACGGAGAGAGTGGCCATAATAGCCCTTTCCAACATAAGTTGGAAAATGCGCTGAAAATGACTATCATGGGACATTTAAGCAACCCACAATACATCTGTGTATATAAGATTTAAATTGAAAAAAAGCATACTGTAGAACGCGCTTTATTTTGTATTCTTGAATATATTGCGCCTACCGGGCGGATGTGCATTTGAACTACTCTAACGCGGGAAAGCGCCTTGTAAACTTTGAATTCAAATCGAATAGTGGGGGAGGTAACTACAAAGATCTTCAAATAATTACATACATGATAGGCACGCCTTAAAAGAACTGTTTCAAAACAAATAATTAAAATGGAAATTTTAAACAAATACACCAACATGTGATAATCTATTAATAGTTAATTCAATAAGCAAGTCTATTAACTGGTCATTAATACTAATTGAACGTCAAATATTTTATCTACACAAATAATGCTACTGAACTAGACTCGAATTAAGAATACATTTAATTTAACAGCGTGGAAATTGAAACATCATTGTACAATAAATTATCTACCGATTTAAGCGCGGTGGTGGTGGGGGGAGAATAGACATTTGCAAATTGTAAAAAATTCCGAGCGGGATTTTCGATATGGTAGTTGCTTGGAGGTGTAGCATGAAGTTGCCAGGACATACTAATTAACTGACCAATACCAGTTTTACGAGGTGCCACTATCTAATTAGTTTAGAAAATGAGTGAGACATTAGCGAAAGACAAAGTGCCATCGCGTACCGAATTAAATAATAACGAATCGCATTTAAATATGGATTTAGACATGAGTAGCCAAAGAGTTGACGAAAGTGCATCACTTTCTAGTGCTTCAAGTAATAATTCTGATCTTAGCGATGACGCTGGAGATGAGCCTAAAAAGGACGGCGAAACTTTAGCGAAGGTAAGATTACGGCCTAATTACGCGAAAATGATTATCATAAAACAGTACTTGGAGCTCAAATAAACTTTGTATACAACAAAGTTCAAGGATGACTAAGTTGTATCTTTTTAGTATTAACACATGATAAGTATTTGCAACTGGGTCACCTAATATTGTGCATTTTATTTAATTACAATTGCCTATTGTTTACAAATTAAATCAATAATAAATTTTCGTCGAAAAATGGGTGGGCGCCTTCTTGCTTCATTTTATCATATACTGACGCAAAATTAAAACTTTCCATTTTACTAAATACTGTGAGGATAGCGACATTACGAAATTATAATTAATTGTCGATAACAAACCTCATTGAATTGTTTATGTAATTGCAGTAGTGCACAACCCGAAAAAATTACTTATCCGCAAACTGATCTTAATTATAATTACCGGCAGCTGTACAAAGTTGAACTTAATTTAAAAGAGCCTGGAGATGGTACCTGTAGAGGTAAATAATATGGTTATCCAAGAATTAACCCCCCGACTGAATAAAACAATGCGAAGGTTAATTTGATTTGAAATTGTATGGCATTTTTTTCAAACGCTGCATAAAGACAATTAAATAAAGACGCATTTAAATTACGGGCGCGCTTTTTATATAACTGAGGTCAACAAGATACTAAATTAATTGATTCGTATTGATGATTTTGTCAACGATCCGCCAGCAAATTTGAAAACGTTAGCGCACGAGGAATGCAGGAGAAACTTCAATGTTAATTAACGATAATAAGTTGATTGATTGTTCATTGGCCTAAATAGGATTAATCTGTTAATACTGAATGTTCTAAACATTCACGTGAGATGCAAATTTAAATATTTATGGTTTGTTTACGGTTGTAGTTAGCTTGTTTTGCATTTTGCAACGGTACCTATACTTGACCATGATTTTTGTGTTCTCGTCTACGTCCAAATTTGGCAAAAATCACCTTTTTTGTAACTTTCGAGCAAATATGAATTTCGTCCCACGTTACTGACAGTTTTGTTTGAAAGGTTTCTCTTGTCGACTACTTTCAGGAACTATACCATCAGGCGTCTTGCCTTTTTTTTGGGAATATTTGTAAAATTCTAATAACCAAATGCGAAATCTACAAGAAGCTGTCGCAGTTATTATTACTGTGTCAAGGATCCACAATAAATTAAGGAAAGTTCCCGGCGAGCAAATTAATTCATCTTCTTTTAACCAATAGTTAAATCAAACTCGTTTGTAACCACGATACCTCAGCCTAAGTTCAATTGACTGTTTGAATTCAAAAATTAACTATTGAACTAGGATTGAACTATCGTGGTACAAATGGCCCATGCACCGACCCGACTAGTAGTTTCAAATCAACACCCAAATGGGGAAACTCATTTCAGTTTCTCCAAGGTAACAGTCCAAGAACAGTTAAGGTATTCTATATTCCAGAACAGAACACCCAGTTTGAGACAATTTTAAATACTATGATCAAAGTAGCCGACAGTGAAAGAGGATTATGACATAATCCAAAATAATGAATAAACTTTATGGCCCCACTGCTTTGTATGGAAATTAGACATAGGTTAGGTGTACCTAATGCAAATACGATCTTCACATGTAGGTAAAACAAATGAATTACATAGTCACAATTATCACATTTTTGGAATCGTATTCCACTAGTAGCGTAACGCATTCATTTGTGTCTCGCAACAATAGGAACAACTATTGTATAAACAATTTATCTATAAAGTACCACCACGTGCCATGAACACATCAGACTTTAGTCACAATCATGAAGCAATTATATGTGTTTATTATCGCAAATTATCATAATACTGTATTTGCCAAGATTAATAGTTTTTTTCCCCGTAAGTAATCCGATATCAATTAAGAAAACACGAAATGAAGTCGAAAGTACCTTTTTTTGTGGTGCATTTATAAATGCGGAAGTTAAATCCGGTGATAACGCGTACAGATCTTCGCTTTTGTGGTAGATTGTGTATAAATGAATTGCTGTTTTTGTCACTCTCATGGTTTATTAGCAGCGACAAAAAGTTATTGCATATATTATGTACAAGGATTGTTAATTGCAAACTCATTTGAATTTTCTCTACGCATTTTTACTGAGATAAAAGATGAGACATTCCGCAGTGAAAGAGTTTACAAATGTACCGTCTTATATTTTTCGCGTATTAATCCAAAAAAAGAAAAATGAACAAGAAGAAAGGTAATCTGTTGGTGCAAGGCGAAGTTCAGATTGACAAATAAATTAAAATTTCTAATAGATTTGAAATAGATTAATTTATAAAAGTTAATTAGTATTTATCACTCACGAGCGCCAACTATTTTTCGCTAATATTTCACTTCGGCAACGCTGTTAGAACTCTGAAGCGCAATCCATTAGCTTATATATATACAGGGTGAGTTTTGTTTTTTCATTTTAAGCATTGGGATCTCGGAAACCATGATGAAACATGATGCACATACTAATTTCCTTCCAGATTTTACAATTTTTGAGTTATAATACAAACTTTTATTTTTTTAAATGGTAGTCATAGTTGGCTTTGGCATTTTTAACAAGTTAAAAAGTAATCGTAAACGATTTACATAAAGCGCATTTCCACTTGCATTCATTTCCCATTTGTAAGATGCAACTTCTGTTAAAATCGTAAAAATCCGCCCACAAATATGAAAGATAGCGTTGCACATGGGCAATCCATTGTTGACGTGCTACTTCAATTTCAGTTTATGCGAAGAATTTCATTTCAATGCTTTTCTAAATAAGAAAGTTGGAACTGCACATGCGCAAACCTAAATTTTAAAACTAATGTTAGATTTTCCTTTGTTCCAAGCGCCTAAGTATCAAATTTCACTTAAATAGTTCCATAGATAAAAAAGTTGGCACTGCGCATTCGCAAAATAAAATTTTGAAACTAGCGCTAGATTTTCCTTTATTCCAAGTGCCTATGTATCAAATTTCGTTTAAATTCTTCCATAAATAAAAAAGTTGGCACTGCGCATGCGCAAAACCAAATTTTGAAATTGGCGTTTGATTTTCCTTTATCCCAAGTGCCTATGTATCAAATTTCGTTTAAATTCTTCCATAAATAAAAAAGTTGGCACTGCGCATGCGCAAAACCAAATTTTGAAATTGGCGTTTGATTTTCCTTTATTCCAAGTGCCTATGTATCAAATTTCATTCAAATACTTTTATAAGTAAAAAAGTTTGCAATTCGGCTTATAAATGGTCGAGATGCGAAAAGGGCACTGTGAATTTTGAATCGATTCGATTCAACTTTTGGCATTGCGTATTATATGGCTAAAGCTATGCCCATATTGAATTTCATGCAATTCAGTTCATAACTAACGGAGATGTAAAAGCGATCGAACATTTCTAAACAAAGTTATCGTTCACACGGACAGATAGATGGACAGACAGACAAAGGAACAGACGGAGAGACCAACCGGCAGGCGACAGATAGCAATGCAAAATTATAAACGATCTCTAGGATCGTTAATAAACGGCAAAAGTGTAAAATTATGGAACATGTAAAAAACGGTTTTTTGTTTTTTTTACAATAACTTTTTTTGTAAGCGGTACAGAAAAAATTCCTTCCTTGGTACAAGACTCGACACCATAACGAACCAAATAGCGAAAAAAGTAGAACAATAGCTCTTAAGATAAAAAACTAGTAGCGTTGCAAAGTTAGCGGACGGACGGACGGACAAAGTGGCCACAATAGCGCATTTTTTTTTTATTTTTGTGGAAATGCGCTAAAAAGCACAAATTTTTCTCTGTATAACGATATAAGGCCTGCTAAATTTAAATGTCAACTTAAAAGTTACTTAAATGAAAATTGTTTTTACTCCATCGCCGAATATTTCAAATTTCGTAATGAAAAGTAGTATGTTGAATTGTCTATTTTATGTATCTATTGTTTGTCATACTTTATTGTCTCATTAATTGTTTGTCATATACCTATACTTGACGCTTCCTATACAATATCGATAATTGTCAAAAGGAATTATAAATAAATCTAAATCTAAATCTAAACGTACTTTAATAAATAAACGCGCTGCAGAGGAATTTTCGTATTATTGAGAGGTAAATAAACATAGTTTGCCATGCAAAACAATATCTAGTGAGATAGGTAATAGTGTAACTATGGCACATTTGACATATTTAAAAGCCATATTCGAAAATTCACTATGAAAGTGAAATTAATAATCCTATTCAATACACTATTAAAAGTAGATCGTGTCATGCCATGGAAAACAATAAATAAGAAAATACTGCTGTTCATTCTTGAAGGCCTCAAAGAAAACTTGGATTTAATTTGTGGTGCGGAATTATTGGATTGCGAATTCTTGGACGTTTCATTTACGATGAAAATTGGAGAGGCTAACGATTATCTTCATTTTCTACAAAATGAATTTCAAGATATGTACCTATAGGGTGGGTTAGATTTGGAAACACGAGGTAATTTACGCTGGTTTCAACACAACGGTGCCCTGCCGCACAACCTACAAGTACGAGAGCACCTGTAGATAGGAACGGGTCGGTCTTTTGATCATCAAGATCATCAGATCTTTCAATTTTAGATTTGTTCTTTTCGGTGTTCTAAAAGGGTTTAATTTATCAGCGAACGTATACGACAAAAGAAAAACTACGTGATGCTGTGGTAAATTCCTTTCGCAATTTAGATGGTACGATAATACGGAAAGCTGTAAATTCTATCGCGAAAGAGAGAGGGCAAAAATGTTTCCCATAGCTCTGTTTTTACTACTCTCAGTAATACAACTAGTTCTGTATCATGTTTATTTGTCAAAGTAAGTAGGTACAACGAACGTTATATCACTGTAAACAGAAAAAAATGCATTTTTTTTAATGTCACAGCCAACTATGGTTGCCATTTAAAACAAATGTAAGTTTGCGTTATAACTCGAAAATTATAAAACAAGAAATAATGGAAATTAATAAATGTAACTTATTAAGCAGAAAATATCTACAATCTTTGTTTTTTGCATATTTCTGTATTTCTAATACTAACGATTCTACAACATTTCAAAGAAAAATCATTAAATCTGTTTTTCGCCCATATCTAGTAAACTGGATTTTTTTCAAAAAACAAAAAAGCTCACCCTGTATGTAACAAACAAACGCCTATCTTTCTCGAAGGTTCTCAAATGCTCCCGAATATTCTAGAATGTTCTCGAACAAACACGTCATGTTTCCCGGAAAGAATGCGTCACATTCGCTTTTCGTTTCTTATCGCCGACTAATTTCTTATGGCGCCTCGATGTCTATTCGCTTTAGAATAACGAATAAAAGAATTTGCGTTCAGTTTCATTTGTTGCGAACCAAAATCTTCAACGTAACCGTAGGTACATTCACTACCTATACACGATTGAAAAAGAAGAAGCAATGGTGACCGTATTTTTATAGAAGAAGGAAGCACTTTCTTTAAATTTTAAGAAAATCTAAGTCTTCTACCGACCTTCTGTCCTCTTATCAATGTACGGGGCGGAGGGGGAGGGGAGGGGGGTTGTGGAACTAGTTTTATCCTTCATAGTACTCCAATGAAAGGTCTCAACGAAAAGAATTAATTTCTACCAACCATAACCATATTTAATTCTTAAAAAATGTGCTAAAAATGTATGAAAACAGTCATTGTGTTACTAAGGAACACCTCTGATTAAATCGTCCAAATCGTCTCACACAAATTTCCAATTTTGCCGAACTTTGAATTTACGCGCCATTGCCATAAGTTTCTTCTGTTAGGGTTTCATTGATATACAGGGTGTAAGCGGGACCATGGAACGCGATTTTTCTCGGAAGTTATTAGATACAAAAAAAATAAAATCTTTAGTGTCTCTAGTAAGTTACATAAGTTAATGTAAATCAGAAGAAAAATATTTTTCAGAGATATACCTATTTTTGCCTTTTTTAATGGTACGCCCTGTATATTTTTGTACTATTTGGTAGGAAATGATTATTGCTTTAAAAAAGTTTCATAAGTTATATCTTCTAAACTTAATAGAATTCGAGAAAATATTAAAATAATTTTACTGGAAATTAAGACTATTTAAATCAAGAATTTCCAAATGCCTGGATTGGAACAAGAGGACCTATAATGTGGCCTGCAAAGTCGCCCGCTCTCTATCGCCGTTAGATAGCAAAATTTATGATACGCACATTACTACACTTGAATAAGACAAGCTGTGAACGAGTTAAATAATAAAATTAATAATACTGTAAATAAACATTTGTTAAAAAGGCTCAATTGTGGACAATTTTTACAGTGTTACCAGAATGACAATAATTTGATGCACATTCGTAATTTAAAATGTTTTGCAGTAAAGGTATATTTCAATATTTTCTTTAATATCTAGAATTCTATTAAGTATAACTAGCAAAACATATTTCCTACCAAATAGTATAAAAATATACAGGGCGTCCATTTAAAAAAAAATCCAAAAAAGTGTTTTTTAGCTGAAAACAAGTACCTATCGCATCCCAGTTTAATTAAAACTAAATACAGAGACATGTTTAGCAACTGCTGTTAATACTCTCTCCTTGGCCCACTGGTAAACCATACACCTCAACTATATTAGCACGATTTTCTTGCTGAGCTACATCCACATCAATTTATCATATATGAACCTCCTTTTTCATTTATCAATGAATGCTATTTCTCTCTAAATTAGCTTGACTGGAGGAAATATTACTAATTTGATTTTTTTCGCAAACATTTTAATAAGGTTTGGTGACTGACTGTTTCGACAAAGACTGCTCCCCATCCTCAGATTTATTGCCTTTAATTTTAGTGGACTTGGAATCACCCCCTATATTTAATTCAGAGCCAGAGAGCGTTCTACTGTGGCGTCTAATTTGTAGATAATTATTGCAATTCCACTTACCGCTTAAAATTCCAGTTTCAACTTTAGAGATATCCACACAGGCCTGGTGAGCTAAACCACCACACGTATAACATTTAACCTTTACCATGCACTGTCTAAAATCACAAGATTACAATAGGTACTGTTCCAATTCTATGACTAACATTTAGACAGCGATTTATTTCACCTACTATAATATAAACAGGATAATTTCTAATATATTTATCTAAAACCCAACCAGTTTTTATAATGGTAACACTGCGTAACTTTATGAATGTCCTCGTAATATACTACAGCACGATAGGAGAACGATCTAACCCACATCTTAACAGTTCGAAGTTTTGCTCTCTTTTTTAGCGCATTTTTTAAGAATTTAAAAAAATGTGCGGTTTGCGGTTTGTCTGTTCGTCCGTCCGAACCCACTTCTACCGTTTTGAACTACTTCTAGGGGAATGGTCCTAGAGTCCTGGAATTTTTTGCAGTAGGTAGCCTATACCTTGACGGTGTGCCAGACGACCATCAAATTTCACTGTCTAAAAGCCCCCTCCCCCCCCTTGAATTATTTCCTGAGATGCTGTTTTTGCAAGTAAAACGTGCATAGCTTTTACATACGACAACCAATTGGTCTCAGATTTTGCATACGGATATGCCTTTAGTGGTGTTAAGTTAAACTTTAGGAAATGGGAGGAGGGGGGTAAACACATGTTCTACCCTTCATGGTATTCTAATGAAAGGTCGGGGCCTGAAGAGGGGGGGGGGTTAAATTAATTTGATCTCTCATTGTATTCTAATTAAAGGTCTCAACGAAAGGAGCCGTTTTCTACCAGCTACTGCCCTTCTTTCTGTCCTCTTATCAAAGTACGGGGTGGAAGGCGAATGGGGGGGGGGGGGGAACTAGTTTTATCCTACATGGTACTCTAATGAAAGGTCTCAAAGAAAGGATTTAATTTCTACCAACCATAGCCCTCCTCCTCGACCTCTTATCGTGATCGGGTATATTCCCTTATACCCCAAGAACGAATTGTCGGAAGAGGGTACTCACAAAGGGCGATTGAGACGTCTGCAAGAAACATATCCATTGGTGATGTCAAAACAAAAGCTATTTCGGTCAAAAATGCGCTTTATCTGCACTGTACTTGTTTAGAAAGATAAACAAATACAATACAATTTCCCTCCACGAGACAAATTTTGTCCGAAGTTACCACATTCCTTTGTCGGTACTCACTCTGACGCCCTCACATTGGCGGACTTCGCTAAAAAAAACCCCCACAAAATAGTACTCGCATTTCTGGAGCACTCGAGCTTCTATTGGGGACACGAGAAAGAGAGACCGCGATTGACGCTTTAACTCTTTAAAAAACGGAAGACGCGCACGCGCACCTTGCAAAAGGTGGTTAATTTCGCGCCTAGGAAATATAAACAAAATTCCGTTACGCAGGAGTTGCGCTCTCTGACGACCTCGGTTTGGAACCAATCGGACCAGAAGAAGTGTAGGAAGAAGATTGGAAAAAACTGAAAACTGAAAGCCGCCCGGACAAAGTGAAATGAACTTGCATACGATCTTGCGTCAGAAGAAGTAATGGTGACCGTATTTTTTAGTAGAATGAAGCACTGCCTTGACATTTTAGGCAATCTAAGTCTAAGGACACGGCTATATGTTTCCTGTCTGTGAGGCTGATGAATTAAAATAATTCTTCGAGGTGTACTAACGCACCCCATCCAGAATTAATTTGTGATTGGTGACGGTAAACGATGCAAAGAGGTAGTCGATCAATATGACTTACAAAGGAGTGCCTAAAGAATCCGCGTTGAGACCTCTATTGTTTATAAGCAACGTAAAATCAAAATTTGTGTTATGGATTTAGGCCCAATGATTTACCTTTTTATAGTAACACTTACATCATCAGGTACAACCTTGGTTGTGCCGTTCAGAATTAGAAAGATTAAGTGAATAATAATAATTTCAATAAATAAACGAAAGTGGAGAATGGATATGATGTGAAAATCACGTTTTGCAGTTTTTTTTTGCAGAGCTGAAGGATATTTCTTAAGGAACCACATTCCAATGCAAGTTTTTGAAAGACAGTACACGTTATTGCTAATTTGTCACTGGTATTTATTGTACTTTCAATTACCAAAAACGTGTGTAAACAATTACTGTATTTTAACAGAAAAAAACTGCGTGACAACCACGATGAATAAAAATTTAACCTGAGGTCAAGTTCGGCTAATAATTCAAGGTAACACCGAATTAGCATACAGATCTTCGAAGATCCTATCATAACAGCTTTGTTCGTGGGCAAGAAAAAAAGGTCGAATGAAATACAATCCATGAATGAATATAACATATCCACCACTGACCCTCACCTTGCATAAACAACCCAAAGCGACAACAATTTACTACTGCCTGAAATGGAAATTAATCATACGAAGGCAACGATAACATAAACGAACTTTGATGTTGATTTTTTTCCAGTTCATATTAAAATCGAGTACAGAAATATCGTCTATTTATATCATTATTTGTAATAGTATGTGTATGTTTTTCTAACTTTGCAAACTTTTTTAACAAATCATTCCGTTGAAAACTACTGGCGATTACTTAAATAATCTATCGCGAGAAATTTGCAATTTGTTTGTTTATCTAACCCATTATTCGAAAATCGAGTTCAAACTTACTAAAGAGAAGTTACATACTGCAATAACGGCGCTTGGGCGTGTACGCCTACTGCCTATGCAACATATATTACCAAACCAAAAGGCGGAACTTGAAAAAAAGGACCCGTGCAAATTTTGTTAATTTATTACTAAAGCTAATCATCTTTGTTGTGATAGTTAATTTACTTCCCCATAATTCAATTTTCAAATAATGCAAAATATGATTACAATATTTAACAATTACGTTGATATGTGATAACAATTTCAAATTCGCAAACACAATAAGTAAATAAAGCTTAATGAAAGCCACTAAACAGATAGAGATACCATAAAATCATTCTTTTTTTCAGAAACCTTCAAATCGTAAGCTGCGTTCGTTATCCGACAGTCACACAATTCCCCTCCTCACATCAGCAGACATAACCGACGCCTTTCCAAGTTTGCCCGACTCCGTCCTGGAAAAGCTGGGTCTCTCTGGTAATGGAGAAAGGTATTGGAATTTAACTATCAAACTACATCGCTAACCTCTTTCTAATCAGTGATTTGCAGGGAACGCCTCAACGAAGACGAGCTCGAGCAGAAGTTCGTCGCTCTCTCCTTGGCATTTACGATCGACGCCGCCACGATTAAAGACCGATGCGAGCGGCAAAAGCGATACCGCGACCAAACCGAAGTTAACTTAAGCAATGAAATAACAAAAGTAATCGACCAAATTACCCAAATACACCCATCGAACACCGAGAAAGCGGAGCACCTCACCGATCTACTGGCGCAAATTGACGTCATCGTAAGAGCTTCGACTCTTGCCAGCATTTCCGCCGAGCGATTTGGAGCCGTTCAGCACGAGGCCAGGCTCTCCGATGCCGTCAACCTGATGATTAACTACGTGACGTTACTCAAACAGCAACGAGACTCGGCGAGGAAACAGCTCCAGTACACGAAGTGAGTAGTTCCGCCTCGGAAGATTACACTAAGCGAATTCCCTTCCAGAAAGGTTCTGCAGGACACTAACACTACCGAAACCTCGAACGTGAAGCGTCACAGTTTCGGGCCCAACGGGCGTTCACTCACGCAGCGACGGGCGAGCATAGCCACGCTCGCTCAGGACGTCGGGAAACCGCCGGTTTCGCCTCCCGGCACCGACAGCAAAAAGTTATCGAGGCGAACGTCCGATATTTCAGCACGAGTGTCGGCATTCGCCAGATCCACGCGGCCCAGTCGGCTTGAGCTAGGGGTCGATCTCAATAAAATAAAAGAAGGAATTGTAGACGATAATGCAGAACTTGATCCATTGGAAGCTTCGGATGGAGAAGAAGAGGTGTTTGACCCAAAAACGCCGGAAAAAGAAGTGAAATCTCGAAAATCAAGCACGCCGTTCGTGTAAGCGAGTGGTACGCCAGTAACGTATAACTGACCATGTTTTTCTAGCAACCACATGACGCTTCAAGTGAAAAGGTTACAAAGATACATTCGGGATAGGTCAAGGGTGTATGCAGAATACGGAGTATTCCACGACTGCTTCTATATCACTGCCTGCGTTTGTTTTATGATAGGCTTCTTTCTTCTGGCAATTTTTCTAATTCACGCACAAATTACCGGAGGTGACAGTTCAACATTGCGATCACAGAAAGATACTAGAATAAAACAATGAATATACAAATCGTTTGAAATCTCCAAATGAAGAATCATCGGCTCTTAAGCCGGATGGTTTAGGCAAATCGAGAGAATTGCTTCACCTAAATTCATTTATGTAACTAGTACCTAATGAATTCGAATGAATGTTGATATGCCTGTACGACCAGAATTACCAAAAAAATTACCGTTAATTGTTTTATTTTTTGTATTATTCATTCACTACTCTCTGCCAGTTCTTTTCCTTGCGCCGCTTTTATCGAACATCATTCCCGTTTAATTTTTTTTGCACCTTTTTCCTCCCTTGACACCATCCTCCTACCATCCATGCTTATAATTCGTACAGGGCACAGTTTCTTCAAATTACTTTCTTTCTCCACACTTATTTCGGCAGGCCTCCAACGCTCTTTTATTGCACGTCTCTTTTCCTTATCCTGTTCTTCACGTCTACCCAGCTCTACGGCACGGAGTTTATTTAACCCTTCTTTTCTTCCCGTTTCCTTTTTCTATCGCGTCTTCATCAGTTACATCTATAATTCGCCCCCCCCCAGGACCCCTTTTTTACACTTTTTGATGCTCGTTGTAAGTGTTGTAAAAAGTCCTTTGTAACAAGGCATGCGCACTTGCAGAGGCGCGATTTTCTTAGGGGCAAAAAATTCAGGTAGGTACCTAAAATACAGCATAACTGGACTTATAGACATTCACAAAAACATATTTAAAGTTATTTCTGTAGTTTTAAGAAAGAGGATTTTGAAACAAATACATAAATCCCGAGCAGACGGTCATCCGTAATCCCTCAGACATGGTAAAAGTAGTGTCTTACCCAAAACAAAGCATTTTAAGAAAATGTACAATCATAAATCTTTTATTATTGTATACCTCCTGAAGTCTACTAGCTTGAGTTCAATACATCGAATCCGAGATCAGGGAACAAGGGTGCTGACGAAGATAAACATCCCCATAAATCATAGCGACCTTGATTTTAAAGTTAAGACATACATTTGATCAATAATGTGAATGCGGATAAAAGGCAACATTTTAGTAATGAGAAAGTTGAATTTAGTGATACAGTTTCCATACTTCAAAGTGCCATATTGTGCTAATTACACATTAATTAATTACATGTTTATAAACAGTAGTAGGCCGCGATAATAAAAAACCAAAGAATGCCAGATAGAATTCAAGTGCCATAAATTTATGATTTCCTGCAAGTGTACTTCTTATTTTCGCCTTTTTAATTAATCTTCCTAATGATCCACAGCAAAAGTAACTCAAAAGAAGACTGCACAATGCACTATCTATAAAGATATTGTTGCAATAACAATAAAGCCAATAAGAAACATTAGCGCGTTTTTAAATTTTAAAAAGTGTAGGTAATATAACTTCCAGTAGTTCCAAAGTACAATTTATAATTCATTGCATCTACTAAAGTAGTTAATAAAAACCACTAAATGTTGGTATGTCAATGTCAGCTGATTTCCGAAATGGTTGGCACCTTGATTTTCCATGTTAATGACTTGTTGCAAAATTTCCTTTTATTTACTTGTTTTTCCATAGAATTTGCGTATGTGTTTGTTTAACGAATTGAACTTATGTGCCAAAGTTGCCAAATTTACATTTTCAAAATATGAAAATTTACAATACAAGAATCGTCCTCGGAGTGTTCATAATTACAGCGGTTGCAGCATATGCCGATAAAAGTGACGAGAAATCCGCGAGCACTTCGGAAACAGTACCCAAAGCTAGGAAGGAACTACAAAATGTTGCCAGTGAAGGCGGTTTGTTAAATGTAAGCGTTCCGATCGTATACGGTCGCGAAGGATATACAAATAGTCCTTCGAAAGTGCCTTCAAATGCCACTACATCAAAACCGGATATGGCTCCGTCGATTTCTACAAGTTCTCCCATTCTGAAAAGTACTGTTACGGATACCATTCATAAAATCGCAGCTAAAAAAGGTGTAGGCGACGATAATGTATCAAAGCCATCAAATGCCACCACTCAACCGCCAGCCAAACCGAAAAAACCTCTCGTTACTGTGCCCGGTGGTAACGAATCGATGGTCACATCCAACAGTCCGTCTGATAAGTCAAACTCCACCACGAAAATGCCAAAAGTGCCTAACAGCAATATACTAAGTAGCAACGTAGATAACACACAAAAATACATTGTCCCTATAGTGATAGTTATATTATCAGTGCCTTTTGTCGCCATTCTAATATCGGTCGTCTATAAGCGAGGTGCAGAATGGTGGAAATACAGACATTATCGACGTATGGATTTCTTAATTAACGGAATGTACGATAATTAGCGTTATTTCTAGCTTCCACAATGAATTTATCGATATCGGTGCTACAGATGATTTTATATTTTTTGATAAATTTGAAATTGAATATGATATTGTGATCACATTCTTTTGGCATTTGTTTTTGTAATGCGATGTTCTCTTGTTTCTTTTACCTGCATTAGTATGTGATACTTTTGTTATTGTTAACATTTCAATTTTGTAATTCTTACAAATTAGTGTATATACATAGATAATTTTTTTACTATCGTAACTCATATAAATAAAAGTAAAGTTTTAAAATACTATTTTGCTAGCATTTATTTATCTCAGTAACAAAAAATAATCATCCATCCAAATCTATGACTGCTACTATGCAATTTTACTTTATTTGAGTTTGAACTATACTCTTAAAGCCCAGTAAAAAATATAAGTTTTTTTATTGTTAACTAATGGAATGTTGATCTGGAGACAACATATGAACACGATAGCCTTTATGGGTCTATAGACAAATTACTGTATGAATTAATAGATAGCTCAAGGGTATAGTATCTTTGCAACTTTATTTTCTAAATTTGCACCACAGGTAATTGACTATTGTTCTTGAATCTTTGAAAAAATTTAAAATGAGAAATGGTTTTTAAATTAATGAAACTAAAGGTGCAGAGAGCAGAAAGCAACAGAAATGGACCCAGAGATGGCTTTACAGAGAGTCTCACCCAGAATAAACGCTCTGGAACCCATTTCTATCGTTACTACTAGAATGCTGTGGAAACTTATTCTATTGTTTTGGAAAGTTAAGTATCAAAAGATCTACAGCGTGTTCGCACCTCCAGATGCAGTATGGGTCTTATGGACTAAATGCATCTCTTTCTAATTTGCGTCATTCTTCATAACGCTATCCTTGTTCCTCACCGCAATGATGCCAAATTAACATGATTGAAAACAACATCATTTCCGTGTACGTCTATTATTATTCATCCATACAACAGCTTTCAAATTTTTTATTAATTGTTGTCATTATGACCATTTGCTTACGTTTTTTTATAGTATACATAATAATTCATTCATAACTTTGTAACATCTTTTCTTGTTTCGGATACCAAAAATGAAGTTATTCGAATGGGCATGTAACGATAGCATTACAAACGGCCATTGACAGAGCAGCCTAAGTTAAAACAAGCCGCCATTCACTAACAAGGAATATTAATTCGTGCACCACATAAAAGATGGCGTGAAAGTCTTTTTTTTCTACACAATATTGTTGATGTTCCCATAAAGCTTACCAGATTTGTTGTGTGAATCATAAACACTCCCAGGTGTTTTTCAAATTCGTAAATCAGATAACTTTATCCTTTCCTTGAGCAAAATTCGTTAAAGTTGTCTCGCTATATTTTGGCATGGCATTTTGCTCAAGGACTGGTAAAGGTATCCTATCTACGAATTTGAAGAGCATCTGGGAGTGTCTGGCAGCACTACAAAAAAACGCAATAACTGGGGGCGCGCATGTCGTTTTTTATTCATTTTTCCAAAAAACTCTCTTCCTCCAACAACTTAAGAAGTTATCCTTTACATCCGAAACAAGCCTTAACGAGATTATACCAATCTTGCCACCCCTAAAAACCTATCAATGTAAACATTTCATCCCTAAATTGAATAACCTTTAGAAGGAAAGTGGCAAACTCTAAATATTTAAATAGGACGGAGTAAGAGCTTGTGATACATCGTTTCAAAGGTCTCTTCTGTCTCTATTACCCAAAATGACTGCAGGGGCGACGACTTATGGGGGGCAACGGGGCCAATGCCCCCATGTAAGGTGATCTTAGGAGTGCATTGCCCCCATGCAAATTAAATGTACCACATGGTACTGAGACCGAGACAGATGTTGGACAGAGACGCAGATGTCTACGAGCGAGAGAATGTACCTAAACCAATCCTAATTTATCATCCCTATTATTCAAGAAACTTGGCCCTGGCCCCCATGCACCTAATCAAAACCCGCCCCCCTGTGTGAGTGTAAAGCAATATAAATCTTTCCTTTTCCTTGAACTGCTCAATTTTTTAGGTTTTTGCAATCCCCCAACACTCTTCCGGATGATCTCTTTTACTACAGCTCCACCCTCCACAATGCTGTCTTGTTGGGGGGGATCTTAACGCCTGTAACATCCTCTTCGGCGATTCTGCCTGTAACCCAAAAGGCATTAACCTCGCCAACCACCTAATAACACTTCCCATCTGTCGTCTTAACAATACTACCCCAACCTTTGTATCACACCATGGCACTTCTATTGTTAACCGTGCCATTTTTACCGATTCCTCTTCTGCTACATAGATGTCATATTTTGCGTTGCTTGCCCGTCTAATACTCTTGTTAGAAATTGCAAAATAAAAGGAGAAAATCGCATTTTTAGGAAAAGGGTAGTGAACATACACAGAAGTATGGAACGCCGTTTTAGTATTTATACCAACATTTTATCATGTATCATTTTAAATAACAGTCAATCTTATGTCTCTAAATTTTTCGTTTGTTGTTTTTATCTTACGTATTAAGAGATTGATTAAAAAAATGTTGATTAATAAAGATGATACATGAATTAAAATGTTTGTTGATAATTTTAATTAGGCGCTAGTATACACGTAGTCAAATAGACTAAACTGTAGTTCCTGAAACTTCCGCACAATCAGAGATACGAATTAAAATTATCAACAATCATTTTAATTAATGTAACATTTTAATTCAACAATCACTTTAAATAATTCTTGCCGATTTTAACAGCATGAATTCATATGATTGTTGAATTAAAATGTTCTCTGAAAATATTTGTACAATTTTATTCCAAAATTTTACAATGTGCCATTTTAAATAACAGTCAGTCGTATGCCTCTACTTTTTACGTTTGTTGTTATTGTCTTACGTATTAAATATGATTGTTTAAAAAATGTTACTTAATAAAAATGTGAAATGAATTATATTGTTATATTGAATGAGTGTATATGAAACTGTATTTCAACAAACAATTAATAACAAACAATTAAATTGAATTGCAAGAAATACTTCGATTAATAAAACGATTTTGTCCAACAAACATAAAAATTCATTCATTTTAAATGTGGAATTAAAATTATCAACAAACATTTTAATTCATCAGTCATATAAATTCGACGATTTGAAAATTGAAGCCGAATATTTTCAACAATCACTTTAATTCAACAAACAAATAAATTTTTATTGTTAGACGTAGTAAAAGAATCTTTTAAAATGATTGTTGAATTAATATGATTGTTGAATTAAAATGTACATGAATTAAAATGTTTGTTGATAATTTTAATTAGGCGCTAGTATACACGTACCCAAATACACTAAAGGATAGTTCCTGAAACTTCCGCACAATCACAGATACGAATTAAAATTATCAACAAACATTTTAATTCATGTAACATTTTAATTCAACAATCATTTTAAATAATGCTTTCCGATTTTAACAGCACGAATTAATATGATTGTTGAATTAAAATGATTGTTGGGAATATTTGTACAACACTTCAATAATTGAATTAATATGATTGTTGAATTAAAATGTTTGTTCATAATTTTAATCCCACATTTAATATGAATAAATTTTTATGTTTGTTGAATTAGTTCAACATTGAATAAAAACACTATTTTTATTCAATGGTTCTAGTTAGTTATATTACTGTTCGTTTATGTATTCGTTGTTGATTTGTATTGTTAAACTTTCGTTATAGACATTGCTATATAATTCATACATCATTTCAATTAGGTGAAGTTTTTTAAACAAACATATTTAATGTTTCACATAAAAACAACAAACATAATAAATCGGGAAATAAAATTAACTGTTGTTTATAATGTTACATTGTAAACTTTCGTAATAAAAAGTAAAACGGCGTTCCATACAGAAGGGAGAGCGGAGAGAATTGTTTTGGTCATTACATAGCTGGCAGAGATTAGCTATTAATGGGAAGATCAGTAATAGATTAAACAATTTGTATTCATTTTGTCACGCTACAATTTTAAAATAAACTGTAAAATTGCTCTTACAACATCCATAGTTTGATCGTCCTCTAAAACAATGTCAAATTTATCCATGAATTGTGGCAAATTTTCAGCAACCTAAAAAATTGCATTATTGCGGGAGTAATAAAGCGAACATACCGAATCATGCACAAAACCAATTTTTAGAATATTCTTCAGATTGGGCACACCATCGGCCATTTCGCAATCTCCAAGCGAATCGCCCATTAAGATCACATTTTTGCAATGCTCGACCACGTCATAGTAGCATGTGTCTTTTATGGCAGACTCGTTCTTATTAAACACGTGAATGATGGGGTCATTTATGAAACCTTCAATTACGCCGTCATTGTTATAGCTGAGAAAGTTGGAGACAATCTAGAGGATTAAACGTTAGGGGTGTTCGGCAATTGGGAGCTTAGTCAACCTTAATGTTGGGAAATAATACGTTGAAATTTGTTAAAATGGCTTCCACCGCATCGCCTAGTCCGGCTGAAAAAATTAAAAGCGGGATTTCGGCTTTGTTCAATTCACAAAATAGCTCGGGGACACCATTGCTGCAATAAAAAAGGTCTAGGGTATTATAAATGATTTAAGGATCTGCTAAAGTTATAAATTATGTTAAGAAAAATGGTGTGACAGAGGGTATTTTCCAAAGGCGGCGCCGCCTCATCTCGCATACCCAGCGATACCGCTTTTCTTGAATGGAACTGATGCTAGGTGAGGCGGCGTAGCCTGACGGACTAAATAATCACCTAGCAGAATGAAGTATACTTTACGACCTATCAAAAAACACCCTGTGCATGAATAACGACTTTGACACAGTTTTTCCTGTTTCCCATACCAAATACACCACTATCGGCTACTTTAAAAAAAAAGTTATAGCGCAAACGGACGGACAAAAATTATAAGCTATAAAAAGTACCTGGGGATCTTAACTATAATAGTTACAGCGAACGCAGACGAACGGTCGGACAACCATAAACTATAAAGGATCTGAGGATTCTTAATAACAAATTAGATTGCATCTATAAACATGAGTCTGGAGTCTCGCCAATGATTCCGTTCACGAAATGGAATCGCATTATAACCGATTTATTATAAATCTGTCAATTAACGGAACGGAATTAAGTTACTTTTCTAGTAACTTTCAAATCCAGCGACTTTTTGAATCGGCCCTATACGCACCAGCTGAGTTTCAAACCTAGTTACTTTTCTAGTGACTTTTCCGCATCTAGTGACTTTTTCCAGCGAGTTGTTGACCACTTTGACACGGGGATACAGTTGCCCGCAGACGGATGGATACGCCTGCAACGTTTCGTCTTATGGAGCCGTTCACACACACATACAGTATCGGTGTACTGAAAATACTTCTTGGATACAGTATCGCCGTGTAAAAGAGCACTTTGAGTTATAACAAACTTCAATCAATTTAGAAAGCGACCTGAAGAAACAATTTTTAACATGAGTTGACAAGGGGTTGATTTTCGTGTAGAAATGTATCTCCCTAAAAAGCACGATTTTGTCATAGTTTCAATATCAACGGATTTATTCAAGGTGACTCGATTTAACTGTAACGCACAGCATGTGTATATATAAGACAGTTTCACAGCAACAATGAATATTTTGGTAGTAATTTCGCCCTATGGTAAACTTACAAATTGGCTAGTCACATTTTCTTCTTATGTATGTTAATAATAAATGTATTCTATCCCACATACCATTCGATATCTCATGTATATACTATGTACATTCGTTATTAACATAAGTATTTTATAAAGTCCAGTATGGATATTTAGGAACTATACTTTGTGGATGCGATATGGATGTTTAGGTTCACAAAGAATAAAATGTATGCATTGCAAATTTAAAATACGAGTATATCAGGAGTATCACATACATTGTATGTATCTTCTATGTACATTAAAAATTATAGTAAAAATATACCTGATCATACACCTTATATCCTCTCTCGATGATATTCGATTATAAAGGAAACGAACTGGCTTAACATGTCTAATAGAAGAAAATTACATACATCAGCAGTTTTTTATTTCAAGATAAATGATCTTATATTTAAAGAATTTATTTTATCTTTAAGTTACCCCAACTAATTAGCTTCCTAGCATGTGCTAGGTAGCTATTGCGATAGCCGTTTTTTGAACATTTCAAAATTTCATCAAATGTCGACGTTTTAGACCATTTTAAGCAACTTTTAAAGAATAAAATTTTTTTCCGTCTGTATGTACGTACGTACGTTTGTTGGCAATTTTCTGAGAAAACGGCTCGACGGATTTTGTTGAAATTTTGTATATATGTTTTAGGCATACCGAACAGAAAAATAACGGGCCGGATTTTTGAAAAAAAATTTTGGAGCGCCGTAACGGCATCGAACTTTTTTTTTCAAATAGCAACCTAAAATTTTTATTCTATTATTTGGAAGACCTTATTTTCCTGTGTACAACCTACAAAAAATTGGGCCGGGTTATATTATCAAAAAACGGAGAAAAAAATTGTCAAAGTCAAAAAATTGTGTTGCATATGTGCAAAACGCAACGATCTTGTTTCTGAAGCAATTTAAACGAAATTTCTATGGTAAGTCCCTTTAATAAAAGCAAACAAAATTCATGCGCAAAAATCGTGTTGCGCATGCGCAGAAATGCAATTTTCTTATTTATGGAACAATTAAAACGAAATTTGGATGGTAGGTCCTCCTAATAAAAGAAAACAAAATGCATGCGCAAAAAATCGAGTTGCGCATGTGCAACATCCAACTTTCTTATTTATGGAGCAATTTTAACGAAAATTGGATGGTAGGTCCCTCTAATAAAAGCAAACAAAATGCATGCGCAAAAATCGTGTTGCGCATGCGCAGAAATGCAACTTTCTTATTTATGGAATTGACGGTTTTCTCTTCATAGCATGAGCTAGGTACAATGCGAAATTTCATCAAATGTTGACGTTTTAGATCATTTTAAGCAACTTTTAAAGAATAAATTTTTCCGGTCTGTAAGTGCGTACATATGTTGGCAATTTTTGGTTTCAGCTAGGAAGCTATTCTGTCAAGAATTTGACACCTGGTTTTTATAATTGAATCAAAAACAGATCATCTACATCCCCCAGTAATCCTTTTCATAAAACTACATTCTTCAAAAGGCCATTTTCCTACAATATCGCAAATTATTACAATAAAAAAGTACCCATCTCATTTCAAAGTTTGTCCATTTCCATATAGTTTAAAACCATGCTTCGCTTAAGTCAATAAACACACCATTATCAATCACATTTGTCATTAATTACTCCATCTTTCATTTTGTTGTCTTTATTAGTAATTACTAGAGAACGCACTCAATTCTAATTTTTACTAAATGTTTAATAATAATAGGCATCGATATTGGGTCTGGTGGAAGACAAGTGAACCTACACGGTAAACTGAAACAGATCCGTTTTCCGGTTTCCATAAATACATTATGTAATTTATCTATATGTCCTATGGAAATAAAAGTATTATTATTATATTCTATGTGTGGGATTGTAATGTATGTATATATGTTTCGACTTATAGTCTTCTACGTCATGATTTATGTATTACAGACGTACTATTATAGTTAGCGTCACGGAAGATAATAAATTGGATATAGCAAAGTGTTATGCCAACTTACATGAGTTTGTTTTTCTAATTGCACAATGAGAGTAATGAATTTTATTGAGTTTGGTATGTGCATTACCTACAGTTACAATTAGGTATTTGTTAGTGAGATGTAAAGAATGGATGGTAATTACTCAGCGGAAGAATGGCAGGCATGTTGAACAAAAACAGGAAAAGAGGACTCAAGAGGTGCCAATCTTGGAACTGTTTGAAATTATGGATTCTACAGGCCACGTTCTATAAGGAAAATTTTTTTCCGGGACGATCTGAGACAATTTTTTTTCGGGGCAAAAAAAGGGAGTGTATAACCTTCCTTTTTTCCAAAAATCGACTGCACCAAAATATCTCGGGAAAACATTTTTTGCTATTAATTTTGGTGCGTAGAATCCAAAACAATTCGTACTTTTTCGATCAGACTTCTCAATCAAAAGTTATAGACTAGAAACCAATTTTGAACGAAAATTCAAAGGGCTGTAACTTTTGGACTAGTAGCCCAATCTGGGAACTGTTTGAAATTATGGATTCTACAGGCCATGTTCTATAAGAGATTTTTTTTTCCGGGACGATCTGAGACAATTTTGTTTTCGGGGCAAAAAAAGGCAGTGTATAACCTTCCTTTTTTTCCAAAATTCGACTGCACCAAAATTTCTCGGGAAAACACTTTTTCTTATTAATTTTGGTGCGTAGAATCCAAAACAATTCGTACTTTTTCGATCAGACTTCTCAATCAAAAGTTATAGACTAGAAACCAATTTCGAAAGAAAATTCAAAGGGCTGTAACTTTTGAAATAGTAGTCCAATCTTGGAACTGTTTGAAATTATGGATTCTACAGGCCACATTCTATAAGAAAATTTTTTTTCCGGGTCGATCTGAGACAATTTTTTTGAGGGCCTCAAAAAAGGCAGTGTACAACCTTCCTTTTTTACCAAAAATCGACTGCACCAAAATTTCTCGGAAAAACACTTTTTCTTATTAATTTTGGTGCGTAGAATCCAAAACAATTCCAAAACAATTCGTACTTTTTCGATTAGATTTTTCAATCAAAAGTTATAGACTAGAAACCAATATCGAAAGAAAATTCAAAGGGCTGTAACTTTTGAAATAGTAGTCCAATCTTGGAACTGTTTGAAATTATGGATTCTACAGGCCACATTCTATAAAAAAAATTTTTTTCCGGGTCGATCTGAGAATTTTTTTTCGGGCCTCAAAAAAAGGCAGTGTATAACCTTCCTTTTTTACCAAAAATCGACTACACCAAAATTTCTCGGGAAAACACTTTCTCTTATTAATTTTGGTGCGTAGAATCCAAAACAATTCGTACTTTTTCGATCAGACTTCTCAATCAAAAGTTATAGACTAGAAACCAATTTCGAAAGAAATTTCAAAGGGCTGTAACTTTTGAACTAGTAGCCCAATCTTGGAACTGTTTGAAATTATGGATTCTACAGGCCACATTCTATAAGAAAATTTTTTCCGGGTCGATCTGAGACAATTTTTTTTTCGGGGCTCAAAAAAAGGCAGTGTATAACCTTTCTTTTTTACCAAAAATCGACTACACCAAAATTTCTCGGGAAAACACTTTTTCTTATTAATTTTGGTGCGTAGAATCCAAAACAATTCGTACGTTTTCGATTAGACCTCTCAATAAAAAGTTATGGACAAAAACAAATTTCGAAAAAAAATTCAAAAGGCTGTAACTTTTGATCTAGTAGCCCAATCTTCAGACAATCAGACAATTTTTTTTTCCGGCCTCAAAAAAAGACAGTACTTTTAAGTTATTCAAATATTTGAGAACAATTTAGAAATGTTTAATGTTTCCATTGTCACAAAATCAAATATAAAAATCCGATACATCTGAATACCGAACTCGATAGTCTACGTAACTTAAAAACAATAGGGACTTTTCTTATATCCTTAAAACCATGTGTACAAATTTTCAAAGCGATCGCACGTTTCTAAACAAGTTATCATGCACACGGACAAACGGATAGTCAAAAATGGATCTGTTCCAAAATCGCTAGGATTAATTTCAGAAAGGCGTACGTATCATGTGCACGACGTACGATCGCTTTGAAAACTGGTACACGTATTCTTAAGGATATAACTGGTTTAAGAAAGGTCCTGGTAGGTACCTCCTATATAATAATATAATAATATAATAATAATACGCTTTTACTCCCCTTAAATTTGTATATAACAATAGAAATATAAAAAAAGCTAACCCCATACAAAGTATAACTTGATTTTTTAAGTAGTATTAAGCCTTTTATCTAGTATACTATTTTAAATTTTTAATGTATTTGAGTGACAAGTATTTGAATACTTTTTATGTATTCGAATACTTTCGAATACTTTGAAAGTATTCGAATACATTCTAAAGTATTTGAATACTTATTTTTTAAGTATTTGAATACTTTTCAATGTATCTGTATCTAGTATTCGCTTGTGCTGGACGTAAAAGTATTTAGTTTTCAAATACCTTTGATTTGTGTAAAATATTTACTATTTAGTATTCAAATACTTTTTGAAAGTATTCTGCCCAGCTCTGTTCTCATTAAAGGTTTTTTTGAGCACATTGCATCACTTTAAAGTGGCGATTTGCAAAGTCTCAATGGCATTAATTTCTTATTTGCTCGAAGCAATATTGCATAGACAAGCAATTTGCAGTTGAAGCGTTCTTTTTTTTTCAAGCGCTAAAGTAATCTGGAAACTGGTAGCAAAAATAGATACTTTTTATCCATTCTACACAGTACGTATAAAAATAGTCATAAAATGTTGTAGGTGCCGCGCGGCGTATCTATAAATTTTTTGCTGAGTATGGGATTTTTCTGCTTATAGTATACAGCTTCTCGTCATTTGGTTTTATGTCCTCCTCCATCGTTCGCTCTTATGTTAATCTAAACAATTACTTTAGTTTTTAGCGTATTGGTGTAAGGGGTCAGCAAACTATAATATGACACATAGGGACGAAAGGTTATTTCTCACAAATTCGTTCGGGTGTGTTTTAATATGTGGTCAGATAATAAACCCTGATCGTGGATTAAACTTCTAAGGAGCTGGCGAAACGCCAGTATCAGTCGTGAAAAAATCCCGATAATTTTTAGAGCAGGAAAATTGCGTTAAAAAAAATTATGTTTTATTAAAATGTGAAAACTATCCACTATAAAAGTTTGCGTGACAAAAATCCAGGGGTTTAATTTATTGATTCTCTCCACAGAGAAATAATTACACGTTACGCTTCGTTCTAGTTCTTTGTGTTACAGCGCAATTTCCAAAAAAAAAAGGATTAATGTGGAGAGAAGTGTAATTATAATGGAAATAGATGATAACGAGAACTAACGAGCGAACCGGCCACGAATAAATCAACCGAACCGAGAGATAAATATTGGTCTCGCAATATGAGCAGCTTCTCCAGTAAGTTTTAAATGTGAACGGTACCGAACCGACCGACTATTGTTCGTAGAGACCGGCCTTTGTTGGGGCTAAATAATTCAGACTGGGAACAAATGTCACTCGAACTTCCCGTATCCAGCAGAACTCCCCAGTTTAATCTCTTCATTCTACACAAACATTTTTCTAATTAGAGTTGCTGCGCGAATTTTTGAATGTCGTTTGCTAATCGAACAAGAGCAATTGTTTCCCGCTTCGCCTTATTATTAATCACGCTCGAAATGCGCATTTTATAATTGAAATTGTCGCACAATGGCGTTACTGATGAAAATCTCTGGGAATCGGCGCACGTGATTGCGATAATTATTTCACCCTCACACATCCATTGAGTATCGCAAATAGCCACACAGTAAATCACCCTCGAGGTCTTGGCCGTAAAGAGCTTTGTAATTGTGACGGACGATCGCCGCAGTGCTTAAGAAGATTGAACGTGGATCAAATTTTATCGCATCCCCATAAGTGAAAACAAATTTTTCTCTTCTACCCCCAACTGCTTTAATTAAAACGCGTCGACACCAACCTCTACCTTGGAGAGATTTTCTAGTTAACTTAATTAACTTGTACGAATGTTTTTACTTTTTTCCCGGACTAAAAGATCTTAATCCAAAACTCTTATCCTTTGGCGGCACTTTTCTTTTGTTGCGAAGGACTTTGGCCAATTTATTTTATATTGCGCCCGGAACAATTTATTCGGTAAACTCCCGGCTTCCCCAGTTTCTAATTTAAGCGCCGCCCGAAAACCGATGGGGATAACATTACCGTTCGAAAAATAAAACAATTATGGAGAGAAGCTGTTCGCCTTGATACACAAATAAATTACTTCGAGAGGAGCCGTGAAATATTTTTAAAATTTCTACAAATTCGGGAATTGGACGAATTCCAAGCGCCGCCGCCGCCGAAATGCTAAGAGTTTTTGGTATTTAATTACAGAAACTATATCTCGTCTTAAACTTAATTCTCGTACGCCCCGTGTTTATTTAATGCGCGTGAGTGTGTGCCAATAAAGTTTTAAACAATGAAAACTTCGTCGCCCATGTTTTTCCGCCAATTATGTGCTTTATAGCCCTTTTAACTGCGGTATATACCTTTACTCCAAGGGTAGAATTTCAAGCTCGGGGTGTCAGTGTTTGGAATGTTAGCCCGTTAAAATAAAGCTGGATGTTTTGAAAATTATACCTCATAAAATTTGATTATAACATTTTCCAAGTTACCATACCAAAAGTCCTTAAAGTTAGATTTATTTAAACAAGAATAATTTGTATCACGTCAATAATTTGTTTTCGTACTAAACTTTGAGATAGACTAACTTGTTGTAGATCTATACATCCATTATTTCTTTTGGAACACCAAGCGTAGTGAGACTACTAATATTCTTTAGCTAAAAAACATCCCTTTGGAAGGACAAAATATACACGTACAACAACAATCAAAATGTAATGGTAGGAGGGGAGACCGCCAGAGTAAAAGCAATATTCAAGGCTCCCACTGACAGGCCACAGCTTCCGTTATCAAGTGTGATGGGGAAGGATTTTTGCATTTTTTATGATAAAAATCACGACTTTGTCAAATGTTGGAAAGCGAAAGAAACGATCTTTGAATATAAGGCAGAAAATAGTTTGACTCCAAGAGGGCGGTGTCAAAAGTGACCGCAAAACATGTCTTTCGTCACAGTGATAAACCCCCAAAAGTGGATCCAGTTCCCTTA